GGCTGTTCCAAAACTACCTGAAGTATCCTATTTTCATATCATCTGTGGAAGAGTGGGTGCCAAAATGCATGACTGATCCTGGAACACTGGCAAGGGTTTGGTTCTTGGGAAAATAAACTGAATGTTCAGTCCCACTGGCTCCTTTTCTTCATCTTCCCCCAGAAATTGCACCTACCTGTGGCCAATGCGTGTGGTAACTTCTTTACTCAGCAAAGTCTGGCCTGTTATTGGGGACTGCTATGCAGCCCCTGCCTAGCTACACTATAATCCGTCTAGCTTGAGATGTGGTGCTCTGAAGACTGATGAGCTCATCAGCCTTCACTCGACCTGTGTGATCTAAGGCCTTGCTAGCAGAAAAACAAACCCCTGTGTGAGGGGATCATTATCTTTCTCCCAGCCCATACGTGCTCTGAGCGTCAGCTCTTAATGGGTTTGGATTTTACATTGACTTCCAGAACTTATTAAAATGTCACCAGCTCCTCAAGGTTTCTTGCAATTTTAATTTTTGATAGGTGTATAATATAAGCTTCTCCTGACCATTTCCATTTTGGGCCTTAAAGTGTTGATTAGGCATGATTTTCTTGAATGCTTGGGTGAAAAAAAAAGTCTTTTTTTATGCCATCCCCTTAGCCCATGGCCCATTCTCTATCTGTCCCTGGGGTGACTAAGTTCTGCCCAGAATAGCATGAAGAGGATGAGAAAATTACCTGTAATTTTTGTTCTTTGATTTGAGATAGTCACAACAGATCACTGCTCTGTGAACTGAAGAATATAGGTTCCTCGGGATTGGTGCTAACTTGCCCTCCCTTCTTCTTCAGAAAATTGTCCAGCCAAGGATGAGACAGATAGCAGTGTCGTGGCCAGATTGTCTTGAAGTTCTCAGCTGGCAGGTAACCAGAATGTCCCCTCCCCCAGGTGACTAGGAATCAGCCTCTTTGGCATTCAACACTGGTTGTTTGGAGACAAAATTCTGAAGCTTGATGAATGCAGTATTTTTACTCTTATTGACATAAGCTAGAGGAAATAATGTGTAGAGTGGCTCAGGCCCTTTGTTTTTACCAGAGTTTAGCTAAGTCATTGAGTTTCTTTATACCCCAGTTTTCCCATTTATAAAATGACTGCAAGATTACTAATTATTCCTACCTACTTTAATGTTAGCAATTGGTCAACAAATTAGATTGCACCAAATTATTTGGAAGGTACTAGAGGCAGCATGGTGAAATGTCAAGAGCACTGGACTTGAAGTCAGACCTGCATCCAAATCCTGACTGCCATACTTACTATGTGATGACCTCGGGCAATTCATCTCTCTAAGCCTCAGTTTTCTCCTCTGTAAAATGGGGGTAATAATATTTGAACTACTTTCTTCAGGCTTTTTCAGAGGAAAGTGCTTGGTATAGAAAAGTATAATATAAATGTGAGTTATTATTATTAGATAAGAGGAGGACAGCAATGATATAATCTATTTTAAACTCTGCCAGATATTGTCCTATCTGCTTTGGGCAAGTTGCCCCACCTTAGAATGACCTTTTCTCCATGCTTGACTAAATAATCCAATGACAGCTAGCATTTATATAGCACTTTATAAATATATAATTTTACCCTCACAAGAATTCTGGGAAGTACTATTATTATTCCAATTTTACAGATAAGGAAACTGAGGCAGACAAGTTAAGTGACTTTTCAAGGTCACACAGCTAGTTAAGTGTCTGGGGCTGGATTTGAACTCATCTTCCCTACTCCTCTTCCAGCACTCTATCCATTGTACCATCTACCTGACTGTAATCCAACACTGGGTATAATTAATTCAGCACAACTTAACTATGAGCCAGAGAACTGCAGAACCAGAGAGCAATCCTCATCCACAATATGCAGAGCCTCCTACCAGGTTCAGTCCTAGTTTCAGAAAGCAAAACATCACTCCCAAGGAGTTAAGAATAAATTATAGGGGGCAACTCGGTGGCACAGTGGATACAGCACCGGCCCTGGAGTCAGGAGGACCTGAGTTCAAATCTGGAACCTCAGACACTTGACACTTACTGTGTGACTCTGGGCAAGTCACTTAACCCCCACTGCCTCAAAAAAGAAAAAAGAATAAATTATACATTCTCCCACTAGAATATAAGCTACTTGAAGGTAGGGATTGATTTGTTTGATTATATTTATATCCCTAGCACATAGTACAGTACCTGGCACATACGTATCTATCTATCCATCCATCTATTATGTATGTATGTATGTATCCATACATGTTTGTACACACACATACATTGATCCATCCACCTATCCACGTATCTCATATATATATATATATATCCATCCATCTGTGTATGTATCCATCTATCTATTCATCTATCTATTCATGTATGTATGTATGTCTCTCTCTTCCACTTCCTCTGTTAGTGAAGTGTAGCATCTGGCCTGTAGATTAGCTATAACATCAGAGTAGCATCATTAGAGGATCATTCCAGAGAGGTAGGATTCAGATTTCTACATTGAGTTGGGCCGATACAACTGATTGGTACCACCAAGTCCATGGAAAATGCCGCTGCCTCTCGAATGAGCCTCTAACATTTGGTCCTGGGATGTGTGGGCACCTCTTAAGGTACAGACCCAGTCCTTCCCCCCCTTCACTGACTCAGTCATGATTCATTCGAGGACACAGAGCCTCATGAATCATAGTCCTGTCTAGCTAAGCCTACGTCTCTCCTCTAAACCCTGACAAGTTAAGCCCTCCTTAGGCTACGTAAAGATCAAGGGAAGCCTTTTAGGTGAGAGAGTCAGTGGTTATTCAGTGACCAACACTTCTCACAATTCCCTACTGACCCAGTCTTACAATGGACCCAAGATTGAATTCTAGAAAATCTGAACCTGGTTTACTAAAGGCCTTGGAACAGCCTGCAGTATGACAGCATATACAGAGCCTCAGGAGCAACCCACAAGCAATATAATGTAATTTCAGGCATCCTGGGAAGGCTCTGTTCAACTTTCCCCATTTAAATCTAAAACTCCTTTAACAGAAGAAAAAGTTAGAAAAAAAGACATAAAAACAAAAAATACTGGCAAGTGACCATTGATTTAAATACCTTGCTGCAGTGTGACATTTTACCATTTTTAAAGTCCATTCTCTTGTTTGATCCTCATGAAAACTCATGAAGAAAGCAGGGCAAGTGTTGTCATCCATGTTTTATAGATGATGAAACTAGCCAGTGACTCAGAGAAGTTAGCAGATTACCCAAGGTCATAATCTAGTGGCTCTGTGTTCAACCTTCTTTACCCGATTCAAACTCTCACGTTCACACCAGTGCATCAATGACTGACATCAGATCCTTTCATGTGGGTTTTGACAGAGATATGAAAAGAGACATTTGGAGGTAAGAAAGAGAATTGTGGGGCACAGAGGGAAAGGGGTGGCATTAGAGACAAAAAGTTGGAAATTTCACAATTTTCTCCCAGACCAGACCTGACGTTTCTTCCCAATGAAGGCCATGCTTTACTTTGAGGTGATAAGACCCTCCATATATTTTCCACTGGCTTACATAGAAGGTTATGGGCCAAATGGATATAGATCAAATACATTCTGTTAGGGAACATATGGGATGACTCTCTGTGGTCTGTAAAGTCCCTAAAGCAAAGAGATAAAAGGTCTAAAGAAATTATAGAATTCTCAGCCAATGTACCAAGGAAAAGAATGACAACACATCTTGTTCCTGCTGCTTGGGTGTATTTTTACGATAGCTGCATTCATAGAACCCTAAAATGTTAGAGATGGAAAAAATTTTTAATGATCCCATAATTTAACTTCCTCATTTTATGCATGAGGAAATTCAAGCCCAGAGATGTTCAGTGACTTTCACAAGGTCACAGAGTTAAGTGACAAAGAGAACTGGTGTCTACTTTCTCCCAAGTTAGTGTTTGTCTCACTACATCATCATAAAAAAGTTACATGCAAAATAAATCCTATTTGATGTCATATATCAGAAGGCGGCACTGCATTAAATAAAACTGCAATTTGCTTTTTTATAAAGTGAAAATCCTTCTGAGATATAATCACCCCCATTTACCTACTTTCTAAATTTAGATTTTGTTCAACAGGTGCTGTTTTTGTTTTTAAGGAGGGCATATCTGGGCAAAGGAAACACACACTAAGATGATTTTTAAAAACTACTTTAGCTTTAAAACATTTTAAGTTCTTTGACACCTTATAAACTTACTTGGAAACTTTCATCCATAGCTGGTCTTACTAATGTTATTTCATACATTATCTTAGAATTGATTATTTCATATGTGTGTGTCTTGTCCACCCAGCTGGATTGCTAGCTGCTTGTGAGCAGAGGCAGACATACTACTTCTTTATAGAACATTGCTCGACAGTCAGAAGGCACTCGATGAATACCCAACTGGTTGACTAGACCACACTCCAGCAAATACACTAGGTGATTCTGAGATCATTGGGATCCCTATACAAAAAAAGTCTCCATAATTAATGGAATTTTATAATTAGCAATTAATTTACATGAAATCATCTTTCTAAATGGGAAGATTCCCAGACAGGAACATATATTCAGTTTTAATAACCTTGGTTGGCTTTCCTCTGAGTTAGGAGCCAGAGCTGCATTAGGGCACTGGGTGCTTGAAAACGGAGGAACTGGAGGTGGTAGACGGGGTCAAAGGGGAGTCAGGTGTATTTAATGTTGACTGGCCAACCTTGGCTTTAGTTAGGCTCATCATTCATACAAGCCTGGGGCCTACATATATTCAAGGAAGAACATTTTCTATCATGGTTGCTATTGGAAAGTTTAGATGTTTATCGTGCCCCTATAAATAAGGTTCCAGTCTTTCTTCCCCGGGTTATTTCACAAACCTGAGGTTATCTTGTCATTAGAAAGTAATTTTTTTTTTCTCAGAGTGAGGATTGTTTCATTGTTTGTATTTTTATCCCTGGGGACAACACGATGCCTGACCCTTTCATAGTAGGTGCTCAAAAATGCTTGTTTGAGTTATCATTTTATTATCTTTTTATTGTTTATATGTAGTTTACAGTCTTTTGCAATAGAGGTTTCCAATTATAATAGTTCTCTTCCCCTTGCTCCTTGCCACCTTTATAAGAATCACACGCACCATCTGCTAATAAAAACAATATTTTTTTTGGTCTCTGTAGCTGGTGCTATGTTTCTCTTCTATTTGTGTGAAACCTGACATAGTGCTCAGTTTAAAGAGATAATAGCCACTGCAACTCCCAAACTTCATCTGTATCAGGGCTCAAGCAAGCTAGAATAGAAAGCTGTGGTTGTCTAGCAATAATAAACTACAGAGAAGATGACAGAGACATGTTACTTCATCTTTTTCATCTGAATAGGAGTCAAAGTTCAATGATGAGAACAAGTCAGACTATGAAGACGAGTAGGCAAGCACCAGCATTATGATTTGATCTTGTTATTGAAGAAGTCCACCCATCTCTCAGGAATGGCAGTAATCACAGCTGGTGGAAGCACCCTGCCCTGTTCCACTGTGAAGGTCAAGGCTACTTTATGGTCCTTTAGGAAGCCAACCCTGTGAATGGATATGGTCCAAATCTGGGTGAAATAAACCCTCATTTCACCGACAACATGTGGCATGCAGGGTGTATTTTCCCACCTCTCCAAAATGGACCTGGCTGTGTTTCAATGCCTACAACACCCAATTCTGAGAATTGTTATGAAATACATTGGAGACCAATGGAACATTATCCTCAGTCTTTCCTGTACATGCCCTTGGGGCAGGTGCCCAAAGAGATTCTGAAGATGGGACCCAGCAAAAGTAGGGCCCACAGCTCCTGAGGTTAGAAATGAGATTCCTTCTGGGAGTAGAGGGATTTCAAGGTCAAGTATGATTGTTCCTTGCAAGAGATTCCAACCCAAACATGGGCCAACCTACCAATGTGGCAGGGTTGATGGGTGATCTGAACAATCATTCAAATACTCTGTCCAACTGACTGGTGGTTACATGATGCCCAGTGCTAAAAAGAGGCATGAGATGTATGATCATAGGGCTAGGCAACCATAAAAGATATCCTCCTGTATGGAAAAGGAAATTTTAGGAGTTAGCTGCCTTCCCATACCTCGGTGAGAATCTCTCTCAAAAATCACATGGCTCAGGTTATAGAGAGGCCAGCCCATCATATATGAATGAAGGATGAAGGAGTGAGAATGAAGGTGGCTGGTAGAACCTCAAACTGATATATATGCTAGGATCAGTTTCCATAGTGAGCAATCAATGGCCTTTACCATTGCCACCCCACTATAAACTCCACAGGTAGGATCCTGGTCAGAGAAAAAGAAAGGAACTCTTGTATCAGAAGATATACAAGACTGAGACTTATGCAAACTTGATCATTCAGGCATGGGAGGAAGAGATCCTCTCTTACTAAGAAAGCAGTATTCATTCATTTATCCAATATTTACTGAGTGCCTACTAATCACAAAGCAGTAAGAAGTTTCTTATTCAGAGCATTAGCTTGCTTAGCCTGCAAGAACTATTCTTCATCATCCCATGATTAGAGTTAGCAGAAATGGGATGCCAAAAGAATTCATGGCCAAGAAGGTGCAAAAATCATCAATGATTTTTGTGGGGAAATGGTAAGCATGCCAAACTGTCACCTGTTTCCCCTAGTTTCTTTCTCATTCTCTCTTCTGCATTATCATCTTTCCTCTCTCTCTCTCTCTCTCTCTCCTACTATTCCTCTTCCTCCTCTTTTATATATGTATTTCAAAAAGTTATCTTAGTGTTCAAAGGACACCAAAATCCTCTCACTGCTGGAGGCACAGTTCTCTTAGGTTATGCCACTCAGCTAAGGGAAGTGGGAGTGAAAGCCCTTTATTAGCCCAAATCAGGCTGACTTGCATGTTCAAGTGAGCAGCAAAAAGGAAAAAAGCACAGTTTGTATTGTTAAATGTGACATGTGTCCCAAAGGGATAGATCCTGGACCTGTTATTTTACTGGAATGGGGGTAAAGAAACACCCCCTACCAATGCAGGTCATGCTTTCTCTGTAATATACAGGCTTAGAGAGCTGCCTGGAATGCTGAGAAGCTAAGGGACTTGCCCAGAGTTACAAAGTCAGTATGCGTAGGAGGCAGGGTTTGAACCCAGTCTTCTTGGCTTTTGAGGCCAGCTCTACCACTACGTCATACTATCTGCCCTGTGTCTCATAAATTCATATAGCTTTTCAAGAAGGTGTGTTACCCTCATATTTTTTACTCCAGTCATTAAAGCATCATCACTCAGAACAGCAAACCGAAGTCCCATTGCCCAGCATGGCACCATTACTAAGACGCAGCAAATACATCAAGTCATCTTCCAAGGCCTTCAGATTTTGTCATCACATTAGATGACACAGAGAAGGTCACAAGAGCAGGGTTAATTTTTTTTTTACTTTAGGGCCATGTTCAAATGCTAGCAGAAGACTCCCCCTTAGGGTTAGGAAAGAATCACCTTTCTTGTCCTTGTCCAAATGAGTCAAAAGGAATTCTAAGGAGGGTGTCGGAGATGTGGAAAGTGTACCATAGACAGAGGCAATATCAGGTGATAAGAGGTCAAGAGCTAGCTTTGTTTCATAGTAAAAAATAGAGTTCTGATTCTGGTTCTGCAAAGCAGAGCAACAAGGTTGGTGAAACAGTTAAGGTGAAAAACATGGGAACAATCCCAATCCTAGCTGTTTTTCTGATCAGTTTCTTGAAAAGCTAATTCAATGGACACTATGGTTGGGGATGAGTATCCTTGAGACAAAGTTGGTAACTGGCAAGTATTCCAAATCTGATGGCCTGCTGGGTCTTGGGTCAGATTTGTGAACCTGCAGTCACCTCCTGGTTTCTAGTCATCCAAATAGATGCCTTGAAAACAAGCGTCAGACCACAAGGGACATCCTGGTTGGAAAGTCATTCTGGGGAAAGAAGAAAGAGAGGACAAAGTTAGACCACAGATGGGTTAAAAAAGTTAATGAATCCCTAAATAAAAGTTACAAAACAGGTTATCTGGGCAAGGCCTGTTCTTCAAACAAGATATTCCATTGCTGTACTCCAGGCATTTTTTTTTCTGGCTGTCCCCCATGCCTGGAATGCTCTCTCTCCTTATCTCCACCTCCTGGCTTCCCTGGGGTCCTTCAAGTCTCAGATAAAATCCCACCTTCTACAAGATACCTGTCCAATTCCCCTTAATTTTAGTCTCTTCCCTCTGTTGATTATTTCTAGTTTATCGTGCATTTAGCTTGTTTGTACATAGTTGTTTACATGGTGTCACCCCCATTAGAATGTGAGCATCTTGAGAACAGAAACTGTTTTTGACCTTAGTATTCCCAGCTCTTAGCACATAGTAGGTGCTTAATAAATGTTTAAGGCAGCTAGGTGGAGCAGTGGATACAGTGCTGGGCCTGAAGTCAGGAGGATTTTATCTCCCTGAGTCCAAATCTGGCCTCAGACATTTGCTAGCTACGTGACCTTGGGTAAATCACTTAACTCTGTTTGCCTCAGTTTTCTCAACTGTAAAATGAACTGGAGAAGAAAATGGCAAACCACTCCAACATATTTCCCAAGAAAATCCCAAATGGGATCATGAAGAGCTGGCCATGACTGAAACGACTGAACAACAAAATAAATGTTTACTGACTGACGGACCCAAGGACTAGGTTTTTTTCCCCCTATATACTAAAGAGCATCCAGAACACAGCTAACAATGCAATTCTTCTTCATAAGAAGACTGTTAATCATATCCTAGGCCAGTTAGCTCAGTGTTGGATCAGGGCCATTTTTCTTAGAGAAGCCTCTTAGTTTCTTGAAGAGAAGATCTTTGTTCCTTAGCTATAGGAACCTACGCAGCTCGCACCTCCATTTATGCTGCATCTTGCCACTGGTTAGAAGAAGTACCAGGTGAGAAAGAGAGTGTGGATGGCTCACCACAAACCAACTCCTACCACTGGAAAATTAACCCAAAACATGTACAATAAAACACTACTGATAGCTGAACAGTAACATCATTCCTTTAGAGCAGAAATTTTTTTCTTTAAATTTGAGATCCATAAACTCTAAAAAGTATATTTTTAGTTGTTGACATTTTTAATATAATCAGTTTCCTTTGTAATCTTGTGTATTTTATTTTGTGCCTTTAAAGACATTATTCTGAGAAGTCCATGGCTTTCATTAGACTCTCAAAAGGCTCCATGATACAAGAAAGATTAAGAACTCTGCTCTGGATGAAAAACAAAAGCAAAGACATAACAACTACATTTTTATTTTGTTGTTGTTGATGATGATGATGGTAGCAGCTTTTCTATTTATCTGCTCATTGCCTACACTAGTCTGGTTGGCAAGGTTGCAAAGAAGCAATGGTTCCTGAAGTCCAGGGGGCATTTTCACTACAAAATCCTAGAATGCCACATCCTGTGATATTCATCAGCGTTTTTCTAGGGTATTGGATGAAATAATGTATTATTTTTCCTAATTAATGATTTCAAATTTCGGTTTTGAATTAACTTGTGCCCTCTGTAATAAACACCCAGACTTGCTTCTCACCACTATCTGCTTTCCTTTAACTTTTCTACTCATCACCAAGAACCCCAATTCATACTTTATCCTATCCTTGCACAGTGATCCTTAAAAAAAATATATCCCTCCACCAATTCCCCCAAACTCAGATGACTTGCATCCTTTACTCCTGGAACCCACTCCCTAAAAAGCTCTTTCCATTCCACTATGAGCTTTGTGCCAGGCCCCTGCCCTTCAGACATAATGTCCCCTTCCTGATGGTTCCCTTCTCATCCCACTTGGATCAGGACCACCAGACACGGCCTCACAGTTTTCTTGGGTAGCTCCTTTTTCCTCTTCTTTTCTGAGTTGCTATGGTACAAGGACTCCCGGCCCCTGTAGGAAGGGCCCCGGGTCAGCTCCAGTTCACTGTATGGTGGTAAGGTGTCTTCCATCTCATCCTCTTCATCTGGCTGTGATGACGGTTGCTGTCCACCCCCGGCTTTGTAGGTTGTTGGTGGTGACCAGGCATAATAGCTCCCACTCCGTTGCAGTGGCTGGGAACTCAGCTTTGATGGGGTCTCAAGGCTCCCACCACCACTGCTGCCCTCACCCCGGGATTTCCTCTCTAGTACACTGCTCAAATAGGTATGGTCATACTTCTGTCCAACACCTGGGGTCCGGCTCACCAGCCGAGGTAGGTGTTTATCTTCATTAGCCCGTCTTCGGGGTGGGCTATAGGACCAGCCCCGGTCTGAGTCTGTCAAAGGCTCCCGGCTCCGGCTCCTTTTGCTATAATATTCCTCTAGGGAATCATCATTATATAGCCCACCATGTGCCCGTGACTCTGATCTCTCAAAGCGGCTCCCCCCACGAGGCTCTTGGCTGTTGCCCTCGCCTCGGTGGGACCGCTGATTGTAGGAGTCCGCAAAGGCTGCCAACTCGTCCATGGAGACAGCTGGCATCCCCATGGCAAAATTCTTCCGTGACAACATCTCTGACTTTGACCGCTGCTGGCTGCAAGCAAAAAAGCCATCAGTCAAACTTAACCCATCAAGATACATTTATTGAGCACCTACTATGTATGAGAAATTATAGCTGGCCTGGAGGACGAGCAACGCCTGATACCTACCAGTTTTTCCCCTCCAATCCCATGATCTACACTCTTGGCTGGGATATATGATAAGGAGCAACACCTCACATCAATAATAACAGCAATAATAATACTAGATTAGATTCATACATTGTTTTGAGCTTCTCATTTAATCATATACCTAGATACCACTCCAGCAGCCTCTGTGCAATATTTCTTCCCTTTTTTTCCCAGGGCATAGAGAAAAGAAAAGCTTTGGAAACGGTGGGCTGAACAGAGTTTCTTTGCAGAGTCTAATTAGCCAAGGACGGAAATACGTACTGCTCTTCTTGCACGGTAAAAAGGCAGTTGTGGAGAAAGTGTTACTATACAGTATGGTTGGGATGCTTTTAGAGGCTATGTGAGAAAATAAATGAGACAGATGAGAAAACATGTGCATGAAAGTTCATAAGAATTTGGCAAAGTTCAAAGAAAAAAGGGAACTCATTAATGTTTTGACTACAATCTCACAAAGTAATTCTTGCACATGGCATTTAAAAAAATGTTTCCTTGCTTTAAGTTATCTATGGAATGGAGAAGCCCAAGCATTATTTGTTACATTCATCAAAGTATAAAATGCCAAGAATTCAACAAGTATTCAATTCTGACTGCATACATAGCACTAAGCTAAGTGCTGAGGGTAGAAAGATGAAAATAAAAGTGTTTGTCCTCAAGGAAGTTACAATTGAGTGGGAGATGAGACACGCACATAAATAACTATTCTAAAAGAAAATAATGAGGGGAATTGGGGAGATCAGAGTAGCTTAAGAAATTCAAGAACTGAGGAATCATTTTTCTATAAAATCTTGAAATGTCATAAATTTCAAGACAGAAATTTGCCCACGTTTATAGACTGTACGTAGGAGAGTTGAGACTTGAACTCTGTTCTCCTGACAATGGAAATCGGTGGTCTATCAAAAGATATTGATGCAAAAAGATAACAGAGAGGACAGTAAAGTTCAGCCATACTAAATTAGCCTAGGAAAACCAGGAGCGGTAGTCATCAAGTTCACCTTTCCTTACATTTTGCACCATGCCTATTCATCTCTCTGCCTAAATTCCATTTTCCTTTTGAACGAAATACTTCCTATACCTGTGCCTGAAGCTGTCTCGATCTTCTTTGTTGTAATTGGAGGATGAGGGTCCATGTCCTGACCCACTACTGTTTCCCATTACACCTGTCCAATAGTCTGTATCATTCTCCATGTTCCCCAAAGAAGGGAGAGGCTTTCTCCGCATCTGGCGGTAAGACTGACAGAAATTTCCATTCTCTTCATGCAAGGAGCTGAGTTCAGAAATGGTGTTATTGTCTGCAAGGGAAAAAAAAACCCATCACCAACAAAACATCATTCCATGATCTCTCAAAGTCAAAGACATTGTGAGAACAATTCGCTGAGGGTCCCGTTCATTCTCTAATCCAGGTTGGGTTACTGACCAAAGCTACTTCTGTTTAAGCTGCAATAGCAAGAATTGACATACTTGGATAGGAGAATACTCCATATTTTTCAACACTGATGAATAAGACTAACAGAACACAAAGGATGCTGGGTAAGAGGCAGGCATACAGGGAGAGAGAAGCCAGGAGCCCCAATATCTATCTTGTTCCTTATCCAGTCTCAGTGACTTCAGATTAGAACTACTCTGTCTCATGAGACAGATCCATGAGAAGCAGTGTGGCCTAATGGATAGAGAACTGACCTCCCAGACACCCAAACTGGATGGATGCAAGTCCTGCTTCTGACATAAACTGATTGCATGACCCTGATCCTCTCAGTGCTCTAAGTAACTCCCTAAGACTGTACATTGCAGAGAAGGTGCTAGCCTGCATTGGTAGAAGGAATTTCCTTACATGGGAGTTCTCCTTTAGCAGCAAAATGACAACTTTCCCTGTATAGACCTAGCAACACTTCTCCCTATAGGATGTGAAAGACCAAAACTGCCTGATGCATCTGGCAGTCAGAGGCCCACAGCATCCTAAGCAGTCAAGTATTCGAGGCCTCAAGGGGCTGAGGAAGGCCCTTTCCCTCCAGTCCTAAAGCAGACCAAGGGGCTGCCCATAGAACGACCTCTGAGTAGAGTCTGAACCCAGAGACTAGAGTGAACCATGTTAGTCTGCTTAAACCTGAACTGCACTGAACAAACCTGAACATTCATTTAAAAAAAATTCATTCAAATAAGCCATCTGCTAGATCTGCAAAAACTGGAACTAATTCTGAATATTTCCAGTTCCTGATAAGAACTGGGATGGACACTGGAGGCCTTTGGCTTCTCTCTCCCCCTTTTTCGCCTGCCTCTCACTCGGCATGTTCATCAGTGTTAAACATGGAAAAGGAAAACATGTGAAAAAGGATGATGATGTATAAGGAGGGTGGGCCTAGAGCGCCCCAGGAAGGCAGCCCTAACTTGTAAAATATCTAGCTCTTTGTGGCTGGCATGTTGTTGTTCGTCCTTCATTTTCACAGAGAACCGATGACATCATGAGCGTGATGTCTTGACTTGTGTGTGAGTTGGGTTTGAGTGAAGGAGAGTGATGCAAAGTAGTCAGCCTCACTCTCCTCCAGGGTCACTGCAAGCTCTTTAATTACTTAAAGGAACCATCATTTCCTTGGTGCAGCTATGCTACCCAGGAAAACTGTAACCCCTCTACATCTCAGCAAGAGCTGCTATAGTAAAAAAAATAATAATAATCTGCCGGTGACTGGTCCTCTGGTAATAAAAGTCTTCAGATTTAGCTCTGCTGGTCTCTCAGTTGTGAGAGCCATGGTCCATCTCTGATCCTGTATCTCCAGCACTTCCCACAGTGCCTAGCACAAAGGCACTTAATAAGTAAATTAATAAATTTCTGTTGACTGACTATTTTACCAGGGTCTGAAATTCTTTTTTCTTCAGCAGTACCTGTGCTACATCACCAATCCCCTTTCCCAGCCCTTCTCCTTCATCCAGGCCTTTCTGTGTGACCTAATGCAGACCCGTCCTCACAGCACATACGTTGAGCCCATAAGATACAGTGACATCTGCATTTCTGACATTACAGTCTGGAGATGGTCTTTTTATAGTAGGTGCGGTGGGAGGATACAGCAGCGAATGCTCCTCAGACAGGATAGTTTTAGAAGGGAGAGCTATGTGCAATGTGTTGGCTCCTCCTAATCTGAACAGAACCCCCTAATTATGACAGATTCCCCACCAAGCCTGCTATCAACTCAGGGAAGGGGGAAGAAGGAACAAGAACCTCATAGCCAACTTTAACAAGCCTTAGGTAACCAGCCCTCACATGTCAGAGCTGCTACACGCAGACACTAATGATATGTGGTTACTGAGGATCCATCCCAAAGAATCATCTTCATCAGCTAGACAGGTTACAGGTCAGTGAATGAGCTCAGGGCTGGGGCCCTGACACCAAGAGACTCTTTAATTAAAAAGTCCTTCCAACAAAAGCGCCAGTCCTCTGTCTTTCTCCCTGCCCCTCCCTCAGTATCTTGAGCCTCCCAGTACTTGGCTGCTTATGATGATGCAGGCCTCTGGCTGCCAGACTCATCAGGTACTTTTGGTTTTTCTCTCAAATACCTCTTATAGGGAGAGCGGCTGCTTGGTCTACAGAGTTGAATGTCAAGGTCTTCTGAGTCAGTGAACTGCAGGATTCAGTCTCTATGTCTTCAAGTGCTCTTTTAAAAACATTTTAAAGGGTGGGGTGTTTTTGACAAATTATCTTTTTTTTCCTGTCTTTTAAGTGTTTCAATAGCCCCAAGGCTCAGGACCCTGACATATAGATGTGGCATCATACAGTAGTAAGAGATTCCTTTACCCACCAAACCAAAGGCCTCCTGCTCTCTCCTTGAGCTCACTCAAGGTGAAGTTTTTTCAAGGCTGTGACACCAGCTGCTGCCACCCCTGACAGACCTTACCTTGGCAAAGCCTTGTGTAGCCTGGAGCTAGTGGGCCACCTCTCAGAGCTCCCAACATAGAACAAATCACAGAAGACGTATTACTTACATCTTTCTCTCATCCTTCTGGCCGGATCAAACTGAGCCAGTTCCTTCTCAACATAATATAGGACTTTCATGGAGTCTCGTTCTTTGTCAGCTTGGATCCGGTAACCTTTTCGAACTGCCGAGAGAAGAACAGGAAGGAATAATACAATTGGATTCCACTTAATTATTATTAAGTACCTACTCTGTGCAACACACAGTGCTGGCAGTACAAAGATAGAAATGAAGAACAGTCCCTGCCCTCAATAAGCTTACGTTCTATTTCCAGGGGAGGGAAGGAGGGGGGAGAAAATACAAATAAATAAATAGGATGCTGCCTCAGAGACCATCCATTCCAACCAGTACCTTGACTAAGAATCTCTTCTAACAATCAAGCAATCAATAAATATTTATTAAGCACCTGCTATGTACCAGGCCCTATGCTAAGCACTGAGGACACAAAGAAAGGTAAAAGACAGTTCCTGCTCTCAAGGAGCTTATAATCTAATGGGTGAAACAACTATAGTTAAAGCAAACTATAAATGGGAAACAATGGGGAGAGCACCAGAATTAAGAGGGACACAACATCCCTGTCCAAGTGGAAATCTCCAGGTAAGAGTCTACTACCTTTCTATGACCTTGAACAAATGATCTTATGATTCCCCTTTTATGAAAAGAAGCAAGAAAGACTACGTAACTTGTCCAGGGTACACTGCGTATCAGGGATGAAGAAGTCACGACTGAGCTTTCTGTGTTCATTAGAGGATTCACTAGCATAGAGGGCAATTACCTCTGGTCACCAGTGGGGCTAAGCAATGCTCCCTGGAAAGCCTGAAGCATAGGCGATGGGTAAAAGTAGAGGTAAAGTGGGGGAGGGAAGGAATGTAAAAAGAGTGAGGATGAGAAAAGGAGAAGAAAGAGAGAAAGTCAAGAATTCTTTTTAGTTGGGAGTGACTGAACACCAATGAGGCCAGTGCCACGGGTGGTCTGCCCCTTCACTGGAACATCGAATCCAGGATTGAACACTGAGAAGGCGCCACTGAGGGGATTTAGAACAGCCTGTCCCTGAAACAGAACCTCCACCACAACACAGATGGCAAGTGAATGTCCAGCCTTTGCTTGAAGACCTCCAAGGACGATGAATTACCCATTTCTCAAGACAGCCTATTCCACTTCTGGAGGACTCATTGTTAGAGGAGGTTTTCCTTGCATCAAACCTAAATCTTCCTTCTAGCAACTTCTATCCATACTGCACCATGGCCCCCTGGGCCAAAAACAGGATAAGTCTACCCATTTTCTACACAGATGTCCTTCAAATACTGACAGTGCTCACATTCGTGGGATCAAAGGCTCAGTGACCCAGAGCTGGAAGGGGCCTCAGAGTTCATCTAATCCATTCCCTGTCCCCCCTCCATTTTACAGATGAACAAACCAAGGCCTAGGGAGGTAAAATTACACGCCAAAGTCAACATAAGTAGAAAACATCAGAGGAGAGATTTGAACCTAGGTCCTCTGAATCCAAAGGGGCAGCTAGGTAGTACAGTGGATAGAGTGTTGGGCCTGGAGTCAGGAAGACCTAAGTTCAAATCTGGTCTCAGATACTTACTAGCTCTAGGCAAGTTACTCAACCATTGTTTGCCTCAGTTTCCTCAAATGTAACATGAGGATAACAATGGTATCTACGGGGCCAGCTAGATGACACAGTAGATAGAGCACCAGCCCTGGAGTCAGGAGGACCTAAGTTCAAATCCAGTCTCAGACACATGATACTCACTAGCTGTGTGACCCTGGGCAAGTCACGTAACCCTGATTGCCTCGACAAAAAAAAAAAATGGCAACTACTTCTCAGGGCTGTTGTGAGGATGAAATGAGATAATAATTATAAAGCGCCTAGCATATAGTAAGTACTATATAAATGTTAGCTTTCATCATCATCATCATCATCATCATCATCCACAGTCAGTGCCCTTTCCATTGCCTGGATGAAGGTTGCCACCCCATCCTTTTACGACTGGAAAGAAAGTTAAGGCCCAACTCTTAATGGAACGGATTCACAAAATGTGGCAAATAGTAATGAAGGGCATTGTTTATGCTTCTAGAGAAAGGCCTAATTTCTATTCTCTGGACTAATTTTCTAAAATCCATGAGGAGGCAGGTCATAGTGCCCTGTTTGTGGGCAAAGCCCCCCCCTCCAAGCTCTATTTACATCCCACATGACAATTTTCCATTTTGCAGTACTCTAATCACAGGACAGGCACAAAAGACGGTCAAAGACACCCACACACACATTTGCAGGTGCACTGATTATATGGGAACATGCTGGGCATCTCTTGCACATTCACTTCAAATTGTAGGATTGATTTAAAAAAAATTTAATGATTCTCAGCACACATTTTTTTAGTGACACCTTCTCTTGGAGGTTAACTCTAAAATCCTTACATGGAGGAAATTATTAGCAATAATGATTTTATTTATCAAGCACTCACTCTCCCATCTCTGCAGAGGCGTTAGCAGAGTAGTACAGACAGTTCAATTAAAATGCAATTATCCTACGAAAATGCTGTGTCTCTTCTAAGGCAGCTTGGTCTACTGGATAAAGCATAGGGCTGGGGCTCAGGGGAATAGTCATCCATTTTCCATTCTACCAATGAGTCATTGGGTGACTCGAGCAGATAATGGCTTCTCTGAACCCCAATTTCTAAATCTACAAAATGGGAAGAATTCTACCCTATCCTCAATGTGGCTTATGGAAATGCTGAGAGGAGAAGTGGGACCATCAGATTTGAGCTCTCTGGAACCCAAAATATACAAGAAATCATTAAAATATATATTAGGGTGAGTTCCAGTACTACTTCTTCTATAGAGACCTTTCCTGATAACTTCCAGTTGGCAGCAATTTTCCTCTTCTGTGAATTCCAGTAGAACTTTGTTCGTACCTACTTTATGGGACTTAATCACATTCTATCTTGCATCACAGTTTGTGTAAATGTCTTACTCTCCCTACTAAACTGTCAATCCCTGAGGACTCAGATTGCACTAAAATCATCTCTATTATCCCACAAAGTATATAACACAATGCCCTGAACATAGCAGATGCTCAAAAATGTTTAGTGAATGAATTATCATCTTAATGATGTTTTAAATAATGGCTATTGGCTAAAGTAGTTAATTTTTGTAAGATCTTATAGAAGCAGTGAAAAATCTTATAGAAAAGTGAAAAGATCTTATAGAAGAAGAAAAGAAAATGCCATGGAGTCCAAGAGAAATCCTTTCTTCAAGATCTCTGACACAAAGTCTTCCATTCTTTATCTGGAAACCTCCAGTGAAGACCCCACTACCTTCTAAAGTTGGCCATCCTTAGTAAACAACTCTCCTTGTTTACAGAATCACAAAATCTCAAGAGCTGGGACTTCAGAGGTCATCCACTATAACCAACACCTGATACCCCTAATAAGCGGTCATCCAATCTCTGCTTGAAGATCTTCAGTGAGGGCAGAATTCATTGACTCTTCAGATGGCTCTTTCTCCTTTTGGATAGAGCTAATTGTTGGGAAGAATAATGATAATGATAGCTAGAATTTATATAGCACTTGCTACGTGCCAGACAGTACTGAGCGCTTTGTAAATATTATCTCATTTGATCCTCACAACAATCCTGGGAGGTAGGTGCTGTCATTATCTCTATTTTTACAGTTGAGGAAACTGAGGCAAAGAGAGGTTAAGTGACTTGATGCCTAGGGTTACACAGCTAGTAAGTGTCTGAGGCTGAATTTGAACTCAGGTCTTCCTGACTCCAGACCCAGAGCTCCATGCACAGTGAAATCTGCCTCATTCCTGTTTTAACCTATTGTCCTTCGTTCTGCCCTCAGGACCCAAACAGAACAAGACTAATGACAGCCCTGTGTCTACTTGAAGACACCTATCATGTTCACCCCTCACTTTCCTCATCTATGAAATGAGGGGGTTAGACTTGACTTGGCAAGAAATCTTTCTTGATATCCCCTAATGCTACCTAGATTGATTATCCACAATTTACCCTCCTAAGTTACCTTCTCTGTACACAGTTGTTTGCCGTTGTATTGGACTGTGAGCTCCTTGAGGGCAGGGACTGCCTTTTGCCTTTTTTTTTTTTTTCCCATCCCTGGCACTTAGTACAGTGCCTCGTATGTAATGGGGCAGCTAGGTGGCGCCATAGTGCAGAGAGTGACGGGCCAGAGTCAAGAAGACCTATGTTCCTGAGTTCAAATCTGACTTCAGACACTTCCCAGCTGCGTAACCCTGGCAAGTCATTTCACCTTGCTTGCCTCAGTTTCCTCATCTGTAAAATGAGCTAGAGAAATAAATGGCAAACTACTCCAATATCTTTGCCAGGAAAATTCCAAATGGGGTCACGAAGAGTTGGATGTGACTAAAAAACAACAGCAACAACATAATACGTAGTATTTAATAAACAACATTTATTAACACTCTGACCAGACAGCTTCTAAAGTCCCTTACAGCTCCAAGTCTACGATTCTCTGATTCTTTTCTCTAGTCCTTTTGTGCTCCAGTTTGTCAGCATCTTTCCTTAAATGTGGGGCCCTACACTGTGCACAGTATTCCAGTTGTGGTCTGCCCAGGTCAAATTCAGGAGGATCATCAGTCTCCTTTGTTCTGGACGCTATTTCTCTCTTAATACGGTCTAAAATTGCATTACAAATGAGATCCCAACCAGATGGAGCTTACAGTCTAGTAAGGGAGATAAAATATATAGTATAAAATATAAAATAAATAATATAACGAAAGATGGGATGCAAGACTGCCACATGGGAGACACAAAGTGCTATGAGAGTCCAGAGAAAAGTCTATTTTCAGCTGGGAAGATAGCAGGATGTCATAGAAGAGATAGCATTTTAGGTGGGTTCTAAAAGATGGGTAGGGAAATGAGCTTTTAGGGAGGGCCATTCTAGGCAGAGGGAACTATGTTAGTAAAGCTAAATAATAGCAATGGCTGATATCTTTATATATTAATATAGACGTGCAGGCATATCTATATCTATATGGTACTTTAAGATTTATAAAGGGTTCAGAGAAACCTGAGAAAATTTGTATCAACTAATGCAGAGTTCAAACAAGCAGAACCAAGAAAACAATCTATAC